TTTGTTGCCATCATTTACTGCATATTTGTTTTTACAAATTAAAATTAGAGTCCCAAATTAAAAAGAGAAAACACCATTTTAAAATGTTTTGGCTTTGAGTAAGGGAAGAAGGTGAAGTTTGAGATAAGCCTGAGTGGTCTTCTCCTAATAATCACTCAAAAAAAAAAAAAACAACAACAATTACAATAGCCTCTCCTGAGCAAAGTGCTATGTAGAAAGTTTTAAAAGTTAAAAAAAAAAAAACTTAAAAAAAATTACCCTGATATGCTTTTGACACTTGTATCAGCACCACTGGGATATGTCACCAAACTTTCACGTTTTAGATAAGAATTCACTAAGAGACCTTTGACTCTCACTTAATTTTCACACCACTTTATGTTTTAAAATACTTTTTCATGGAATCAGTTATACTTGAGTGCTTAAATCTTTTTTTTTTTTGCCAGAAAACAACTGAGCCTTCTTTTTTTGTATTAGCACTCTGCTAGAAGCCGTTCAAAAGCAAAGTTAACTTTTATGACTCCGGATAAGCTAGACCATGTACCAACTGTTTAATCCTTACCAAAACTATAAGATGTGTAATTATTAGCCCCTTTTAGCAGATGAGGAAGCAGAGAAGTTAAATTCCTTCCCCCAAGGACACTGCCAATAATTAATTGGCAGAATCAGGGTTGAATTGAGTTTTTTTTCAGTAAGAAAAAAATAACTTTTCCCACTCCTAACTTCTTACCTTCCTGATAAAAGTGAAAGCCTTATTTCTTCAATGCACACAGGAGAAAAGGTGACTTGGAAAGTTGACACAGTGACTTGAACGGCATACCTATTCTGTTGCCTGTTTAGGATTCAAATTCACAGACCTTCTCTTGGTCATAAGACATACCGCCTAACTGGCCGGGGCGGTGGCCTAAAGCCTGTAATCCCAGCACTTTGGGGGGCCGAGACGGCGGATTCACGAGGTCAGGAGATCGAAATCATCCTGGCTAACATGGTGAAACATCATCTCTACCTAAAGAATACAAAAAACTAGCCGGGCGAGGTGACGGCGCCTCTGTATCCCAGCTACTCGGAGGCTGAGGCAGGAGAATGGCGTAAACCCTGGGAGGCGGACTTGCAGTGAGCTGAGATCCGGCCACTGTACTCCAGCCTGGGTGACAGAGCAGACTCCGTCTCAAAAAAAAAAAAAAAAAAAAAAAAAAAAAGAT